TAAAACTCATCAATCACATGTAATTTTCTATACTACGGGGAAGAAATTGCTTATCTATAGTAATACGACTGCGTGTAATACATTACCTTTCCATAATTATATGCTTTCATTATTGTTCTGCGTTGTCGCTATAATTTGAAGCGCAGCAACATATAATTTCCCATTTATTCAAAATGTTTATTGTCAGTAAAGTCATATTTCATAGTTTGTTTTTGTTTTATTATAATGTTATTAATAAAACAAAAATAAACCATGAAATGTGAGATATCTGTAAAATACGTAACAGCGGGGCCTGCAAAACTATAAGTTGCTAAGCATTAAAGAAAACATTGGCGCAATGCCCAACGAAAGGATTTCATTTCGATAAATCACAATTTTTGTTTCGACTATAGCACCAGCTAGAGGAAAACAAATGAAAAACTTTACTTTAAAGGAAATTTGAGTTTCAATCAATCATATACAGACATATATATTAACCAAAAAAATATAGTAGTAGTAGAGCTCCTTGTGAAAGAGTTCGTCCAGGGAAGTACTGCCACTTTATCTATTTCTGTCGCCAAACTGTAATGTCAGCATTACTGCGTTCCGATTTTGAAGGGTAAAGGTGCTGGTGAAATTACAGGCACATGGGACTTGTCATCTTATGTCTCAGGGTGACTGGCGCAGTGGTAGTGCCCCTCAGGTCTTTGCGATTAAAAGCTCTGTGTGGCACTGCATGGACAGGCGTGTAACGTACCATCAGGGGAACGACTTGTTCGTCCCGTCACTTGAAGTTATAAAAAAAAACCTTAATAGGTCAATATATTAACCCTTAATACATTAACATTCGTTTCCATTACATTACGGGAAGTCGAAAGCAATATTTGAATTTTCGAAAGTTCCTTCCCTTTTCATAAGAAAGCCACATGCGATCATACCTCAAAAGTACTTTTATAACATGAAAGTAATAAAAATACATGACACAAATTATACATATATGAAATACTACTCTCGTATTTAAGACTAAAAAATTCCATTGTTGTTGTTGCCCTTATGCAGATGCGGCCATATTACAAGAGTGCTAAATTATCTCAGAAAATAACGTCTCAAGCAAAAGCTATCAGAACAAATGTCAACTTCATCTATTTAACCAACTCCATCTATTGTTGTCTATATGTTTAAGATTATGTGTGTATAAATATTACGAATAGAGCAATACTCAAACAAACCCTTTAGGTTTATGAGTGTCTAGTACTTAGATAATAAATTATTGTAATATGAGTAAATTAAAAAAAAAACCACTTCGACGACCTAGCAATTAGTACAATAGGTGTTAAGTGATGTGGCTTTCAAGTCCGCCAATGCACCAATTTATAACGAAACGAGCTTTTCTAAATAGTTTCAGGTTTGACTACGTTTAATAAATGGTGTATATGTCAAATTTTATGTATCCAATTTAAGCATAAATAGAAATCAACTAATTTAGTACGTAGAACCTTTGAACTTCTCTTCTGAAAAGTTGTCATTTTACAGATGTTATATGGCCTCATTACACAACGGGTGCGACGTATTGCTCGTTACAAAACAGAAATATAGAATAAAATACTATATACAAAAATTCCACGATTTCAGTGGGAGTTGCTATATAATGTAAGTCGTTAAAACCAAAAATAAAGATCTCCAAGAAGCACCGAAGATTGAAAGAATTTTCTTTGTATTCGATCTTTGTATTAATAATTATAACAAACTAGTGAAGTAATTTTACAAAAAAATATATATATTCAATAAACTACTAATAGTAGTAATATAATATATTGTAATAGTACTAATTGCATTCATAACGTCATAATAAAGCATTTATATCGTTAAAAAACTAAAGAATGCGGGTTAAGTTTTAATATACCACTGCTGTTACTAAAAGCTTTATTAAATTTGATCTCGTATTAAAGCCGCACGACGTACCAGAGCTGCACAGAAAAATGCACGGCGAGAGACTATAAAAAAAATATCTTTTTACTACGAAAACCTTCACAATCATCAAAGGGTATTCAATCTCAGACTTTCATGTTCGGCATTTGAAAGAGTCATTATACAGTGGACCTTTCAACGTCGTAACTAATGAGCACTTCTTACTTTTACAGCACTTGGTCAACTAATAATGGCACTTGATGAAGTTTTGCCACTAAAAACAGCCTCGGGACGTCAGCGTGGCATTACTCAGTCCTAATAGCCCATTACTCCTATGATTGTTTGGTATAGTTTGTCACAAGTGACTGTATCAGCTATAAGACTATTGGAAAAAACGTTGGTACCTCGTTCCGTCACTTATTTATAGCGGACTCCTGTTTTATGTTTTCTTGATAACATTCTTAACCTCTACCCTTTCCATCTTTGCGGAAGAAATACGATCGTTTCTTAGATAAAGTTAAAAGTCAATTGGGTTATTTAATTTTGAAAGAAAGCTAATCATATTGTTCTAAAAAGTAGCTAGCTGGTATCAATTGGAATTAAAACTTAGCTGTGGTAGCACTGCAAATGAAACAATTTTTTGGGACCTAAAGACGCATATATTTGTTTTTTGATTATCCGTATTTAAAAAAAAATATACGCCATTTCGAAAAAAATAGTTTCATTTCCAATTTGTGGCAATTGCGAAAACCTAAAAATCCCAATATAACGGTTTTGCACTGTGGTCATTGTATGTGAGGCCTCGAAGAAGTATGAGTTTTGAAAATGAAGTTTCAAGAAAATGAAATGATATGGGTGTTCTGAGTTATTGCTTCAAAGCGAATTTCCTAGCTCTGGTACTCATAGTACAGAGGATTTCCTAGTTTGAGACCCGGTAATTTGTGGTCGTTGGACTCAGTATTATTATTATCTCTCTTTAAGAAAACATCGAAGAAGTCACAGGCTCAGTGATGTGTTTAAGAAAATTCAGGAGATTCTATGAAGAAAAAGTAGTGTGGCCAGTGTTTAAATAATAAAATAATGCGCCACATAATCATAATCAATCAATTCCTAAGTTCGTTTCACGCGGAATTGTAGGGCCACCCATATCATCCACTTCTCAGAAATTAATTGTAACTATCCCGTGGCCAGTGGATTTGCAATGCTAATGCTTGCGACTCGTCACCCCCCATTTGATGACCTTGCCCCGGTCCCGGGCGATTTCCGACGTGCCAAAATTTATTACGAAGGAACCGTTGCTAACAGCCACTTCCTGAGGAAAAAGACAGATCAATACGAAAAATTTAGTTCTAAATATTCGTACTTTCATAGCTTTAACATTTCTGGCTTTTTTATATTAGTTTTTTATTTATTTAAGGCATGTGGATTACGAAGCTTGTCTTACTAATATGCATTTCTAACATACTTAATCTTTGTTACAAATAAAGAACTCTCTCACATATTTGCGTATTTTACATATTACGTAATTATTGCACTTGGTAACAAATCGGTTAAAAATGAAATCTCGGTCAATAATGAGCTGTATATACTCTGATGTAGAGTACATTCTAGAAAACGAAATATCATGCGGGTAAAGCGCTGCGGGCGCGTCGTGTTTTGTTTTTCCTAGAGATTCGAGCGGAGGTATTATAAAAAAACATTAATGATACAATCCATGAGGACTCAAAGTTAATTAGACCAAAAAATAAGCCGAAGTTCGTTTTGAGAATAGATACAGTAATGATGTCACGATCTCTTAAAAAAATACGACCCGGTTAACCCACCTCTACCTGTAAATATGTATGGCACGCCGCATGCCCGTTCCTCCAATAGAGGGATCGCTCGAACGCTTCCCCGTCTTCCATGAAAATATTTTTCTCTTTTCCCTCCGACCATAATCCCAATATATTATATTAACAGTCACATCTACGACCCCTTTGGCTAGGGCAACAATCCTTTTCCTATCTGTTTACTTTATCGTAACGACATCGGTTGCAGGAAGGGACGAAGAAAAATACAATTTCTGCATAGCATAAATATATATATATATCACATAATTATTGTGATACGTGTGACCTAAAAATTATTTTCCTCGAAATCCTGAATGAATGAATGAAATATTATTTAATGCACATAAAAAGTTACAATGACAACACGGAACTGGAATATAAACATCACAGAGTGAGCTAACGTACAACAGGCAGCCTTATTTCTAAGTAGCAACTTCCTCCAGGCAACTTTAGGATAGAAATGTAAAAGCTGAAAAGGGGGTTCAACCAAAGAATGTCTTCTAGATTTCTTCTATCTCCTGTATATAGAACAAGCAAACGAACCATGAACAAACGGTACATGAACAAGTTATTCATTTGGTTAGAATTTAATGTATTTTTTGTCTCTTTACTTCGTTTTATACATTTTCAATTTCCTAGGGTACTGTCGTAATTGGTTTCGGGAACCAATTAAGTCCTTAACGAATTGGGACGTTGGAATAAAACAAAATACAAGCGTCAAACGAACGTCCAAACAGTGAAATGGTAAACATCCGTGGAAACACAAACAGAAAAGATAAAAAAAAAACATTTCAACGAAGAAAAAATCATTATAAATCATGTTTATAAAGTTCCAGTAAAATAAACATAGTTTTGTTTACCAAAGCTTGCGATAAAGTCTATACATGCAAAGCTTTCACAAGGAAAACAGGGAGTAAAAAATAACACACCAATATACATGATTTATATGTCTATATTCTGGATCTTAATGGTTTAATTTGTCTCTAACTATTTTATAATAATTAAATTAAAAATCTACATGTACAAAAATTGTTTTATATATACACGAATTTTCATGCATCGTAGACACTAAAGCTAGTTGGTAAGTAGGTACAATACTCATATTCCAGAAGTATACATTAAACATTACGGTGATATTGAACAATTGAGACTAAATTGGAAAACACCTGAAGTTTTGTAATCTTTTAAAACCCACTGTTATAACAATAATTATTAATAATAAATAGATTGTTCTCCAAAGACTTGATTTTTTTTTATTTCGATTATGTTCGCAATACAAATTGACTGTGACTGTATTTACATCAACATTTAATTCACACACCATCACACTTTGTCCACTAGTATGACATGACATGGGTTTATTTTGTGTAATCGTAAATTTGTGGGGTAAGGGGATCCCTGACCAGCCCACGTAAATCTTATCCCCCTCAGTGCAGTAGAATTGTCCTCGAGGGGCATTCGCGAAACACAATCGAGGTGGCACAATCTTGGCAGAGAGCCACCAACATTACAATGAAGAGTGTTATCAGAATCACTATAAAACCGCTCTATTGGAAACAACCGAACAATGTTATACTAAAGGTACTTTTACGAATGCTCCGTAAAATGTTCCTATACAGTTCGACATCGAATAAGCTGAAAATGATAACACCCTATACTTCTATAATGATACATAATATAAACGTTTATTTACACACACCGACAATACATTTGGCACAAAGAGGCGTTTCACGCACACGGCCTAACGCGTTCCACTACAGGTTCTGAGCAAATATAGGTATGCAGAGAGATATCTACAGAAATTCTTAGTATTCTCTACTAATCCGATTTACAATATTGGTGAATACTTACTTCTATGTTATTTACATCTCACAATCAGTCGTAATAGTTAATATTTTGGCAGACAATCGAATTAGGTATGGATAAAACTTGACGGAGAAATACCCTATTTTGGATGCCTTTTTTATTATCCGATACAAAGAAAGAGTCACTTTGGTAAACTCTTATTTAATAAACTCTGTACTTAATTGAGATTATTGAACATGAAGTCGAATTTCTACGTCAAGGTTTATTAAAACAATATCTTTATAGATAGTCAAAATTCTTTTTGGCACTGCACTATTACTGTATAAACAGTCGTAAATAGGCCGGACTAAAAAGCTGCTAAAATATAATGCATATTGTAAAATCTTACAAATTCAGAAATACAATTTTAAATTACATTTATTTTCAGATAAATTATCTATGATAAATCATATTTCACAACCGGTTACTGATGTTTGGTAAAATGATATTCTACATGGATGAACGAGTGTTAAGTGAACTATAGGAGATCCAACTCCGAGTTCAGGAAATATTGTCAAGAGTCTCAGACATAGAAACATCTAAAAGCGTCTAGAAGTTGCTGTCGTATTCAGAACGACGTCGAGAGTAGTGCGAGCGAGGCACGTATTCGCCGGTGTAGCCGTAGATTTGGGAACCACCACCGCCACCCGTTTGCCCATAAAGCTGCGATCCTCCTCCATATCTATGGGTACATAAAAATATATAAATGAAAATCTATTGTAATGCGCCATAGTTGTTTGTAATAATAAAATACGTCATAGTGCCCGCATTTTTACACTTAGTATTGCTTATAGTTAATTATGAAAATGAAATTATTTTTCGAACATAGATTACTTACGAGGCTTTTATCAATCAATGTAATTAATTTGGCTAAGATGTGCTCACCCGTAACCATTTCCAGAAGCGCCGTATATCTGGGAACCGCGTCCTGAGTCCGGCGTATAATGCTGCATATACTTTTGCAGCTGTGGCGTCCATTCTGACCGCCACGAGTCGCCAGGATTCGGATACGCCAACTGCTCGATGAATGCCGTTGACATTCGCTGAAAAGTAAATAAGAATATAATAGAAGTCCCTTTCCATAATAAATTAAACATCATAAGCGGCCCATTTTCAGTGTTCCTAAAATATTGTTTTAGGTAAAGGTCGTAACGACACATATAACTTAACATTAACAATTTATGATTTTTTTGTGCTTTTTTAATTTTCTACCCTTTGGTGAAATGAAAACTTCAAGCCCAATTCATCAAATTAGAGTGAAATATTAAAGTATGAAAACTATTTGAAGGTGGTTAAACACACTATGGAGTATTTTACCTTCCCTGACGGAGCGTAAGGTAATTCTCTCTCCTTCAATTGATGCACATCGTCGAAGCCTCCCATGTGATTCTTATCCAATTCTCTAAGCATATCTTCACTAAGCGGTATAGGTTGTTTAGCTTTGGCACTTTTTTGGCGGTTCACAAGCTGGAATACAATACAATAAATGATAACGTAAATTTCAAACAACAAAAACTAAGAAATCTCCACATTTAGATGCACTTTAAATTGTTTTACGTACCACTGTGACTCCGAAAATCACGACGAAAAGAAGTGATGCCATGGCTATTACTATAACAGCAATACCCCATTGAGGGAGGAATGACTCTTCCTCTTGTTCTACATGTTTTGGCTCCTCACGTTTTGGCAAAACTGAAAAAAAGGATAATTTATACAACAAGCCGTTGCCGTTTTCAATTGAAACTAAAATTCCAATACATACCAATAAACTCAGTGTATGCAGGATCCATAACAAATTTCCCAATCTCTAGCTTTCCAGCCGACTTGTCTATCGTTTTGGTCATCTTTTCATTACTCTTTTTCATTCTCTCTTCATCTGGCTGATCGCCCAACATTACATTAGGATCAAATTTGTCATTTGATTCTTCCTGCAGAATCTCAACGACAGACCCAGGTTTCGCTTCGCGCAGAGATTTGTGAAACAGGCTTTTCAACTCTAATGTATCGACTCTTTCTTCAACTTTATTGAGTTCGATAAAGTAGTCGACTAATACAGAGCCTTGACTAAACCCATCTATACGGATACCTTTGTACCATTTTTTGAGCAGATCAGATTTTGAATACACAGAGTTTAACTGCAATGTAAATATTTTTGATAATGCATTTGTAATTTGCATATAACATGTGACAAGCAAAAATGTAATATTATTCGAACTCACCTCTTCCTTTACCTCTTTAGCTAACCGTTGCCAATCCTCTGTATGATGGTCTAATAATTCCGGAACCCACTTAACTCCTGTAGTTATAAAAATTTATTTAATAAACACATATGATTCGCTATGAGTACCAAAAAAATTCTGAGCATATGATTAACATTTTACGGCATCACGTGAGGTAGAAAATTACATACCTGCTACTATTTTGATAGTAGCAGCAATATCGCACTCCTGTTTACAAATCCCAGGGGTTGTCGATGGTGGAGGCGCTGCTGTCGTGGTAGTAGTGGTAGAAATGCGCCGTGTGGTTTTTTCTGTAATTGCTTCGGGTGCTGGAGTAGAGACCGAAATATCCTTGTTCAGAAACTTTTCTATCGAAAACGGTGTTGTTGATGGTGACGGCCAACCAGTGAACTCCGTTGAGGCTCTGAAAAACAATTATTATTAAGTTGTAATCATTTTTGTCATGTGTTAAAGAATTTAATAGATATGATGTAAAAGAAATATCATACTTTACCTTGTAGGCCAACCCTTTTTAATTGCTGGCGTTACTGGAGATGGACCTATACCATGACTTGGTTTAGGGGTAGTTTTTCTCGTATTTTTGTTACCAGGTCTTGAAGGGAAAACAACTTTAAAGTTTCCGGTGGACTGAGTGGAGCTGGGCAATACTGGTTCGTCGGTACTGTTTGAATTAAAGCCAGGTGGGAGTAAACTTGACACATCAGTAACTTTAAATTTACTTAATGGATCATGAGTCTCATTTTTAGTGTCACTCTCATCTTTAGTCGCATTTAATTTAAAACCTGGAGGCAGAAATGCTGTGATGTCCACTTGCGTAGCCTTGATTGGCAGTTCAGGTAAAGATTTAGGTTTCTCTATAGTAGGTTCATTTAATTTGAAATCTTTGGGCAAAAATGCGCTTATATCAACTTCTTGTATGGATATTTTATCGAAAATATTAGCCTTGGGAATCGATTTCACTTCTGTTTCTTCAGATGCAGGTGGTTTATAGCCTGGTGGTAAAAATTTGTTTAGATCGTCTTTTTCGAACTTTTTGAATAAGTCCTCTGGAACTTTTTCCTTTGGTCGGTATTCTTTTGGAAGGAGAGACTTGTCATCTAATACTATAACTTTGTTTTTAGAACTAATACCAGAAGATCGTCCTTGTGTACCATTTATAACTACGTCAGAATCTTCAGTTGATGAAACAGCAGGTGTAGTTGTAGTAGTAGTAGTCGTCGTAGTTGAAGTTGTAGTGCTTGTTCGTTTATCTTTATAAGAGTGTCTTTGTTTGTAACCTGAGGGCAAAAATCCTGGAGGCAACTCGTCCATTACAGTGACAAACGATGGTTTTTTCCGCGGTTTAGGCGTAGTAGATGTTGTAATTCGTGGTGTAAATTTCTTAATCAATACCGGCGGTGGATCGGGCGATGATCGTTCAGCCACAGTAGGCACTTGAGTGCTCTTCAATGTAAAAACATTCAGCGTACCCGGTGTTGTCATCGTCGTAGCAGTGAAAGCAATAGTACTGTTTGCAATAGCCTCTGTGGTAGTTTCCATAATATGTTTTATATTTTTATCTCCACTATTTAAAGACCCTGATAGTACAGCACTTGATAACTCAGACTGAATACTGTCCAACTTATCATTAATATTTTCAGTTGATGATGAACTACTACTAATTTGTTCACTGGTTTCCTCTTTCGGATCTCTTGTCACAAATTCTGCAAGATTTTCCTCGTCTTCCTCTTCGTCATCAGCTAATACTTGTTTCTTTTCATCTTGATCTACCGTAAGGAATGGTAAAAATCGCGCGCCCGATACGCTTCGGCTAGTTTGAACTGAAGCAACTACTATCCAATTCTCAGTTGTGGCTAGTAAAGAGGTATCATTATTTTGACTTCGTTCTGAGGTTGAGGCTGGCAAAGCTCCTAGTTTTTTAGTCGTGGTAGGAGCTAAAGTAACATCAGGGATGGAAATTGTTCCATTAACAACGCTCTTGGTTGTCACCACTGAGACAACTTCCTCTCCAAGAATAGATGGTGTTTCGATGGATGACACATCTTCACTAGAAACAGAAATATTTGTGCTCCCTAATGTAATAGTTTCATTTGAAATCTGTTCAGGTTGATCAATGATAGTTGTGTCTACAAAATGTTTGAAGTTCTCATCTTTGACCGTAGCATTACCAGATTTCATTACCACATGAAATGATTCTGTAACATCTGGTTTAGACTCTTCTGTAAATATTTCCGGTTCTTCTGTAGCATCATAGTCATCATATACGTCAGTTGCATGCTCTGTAAAATCATGCGTAGGCTTTGACGTAGTGTGTTTTATTTCACTGCTTTCGGTTTCATCATAATATTCATACTCTTCTTCTTCTTCTCCGCTGTGTGTATGTTCTTCACCACTATGTAACTCCTCTTCGAAATGTTGAGGATTATCTGTTACTTTTTTCATTTGACTTTTAGTTGAAGTTGGAATAGCTGTTGAAGTTAAAATAGTTTTAGGAGTCTGACCAGAAGTTATCTTCGGTAAATTATCAGCATTCATTGAGCTGGCATCAGGTTTACTATCATCATTATTGTTTGAAGAAGTTTCTGAACTGCTGTTAGATTTAATTACTTGGACGTCGAATGATCCTTGAGTATTTTTCATAAGCTCTCTAAATGTACTTATATCACTAATGTCGTCTTCTAATAGCGGCTCCAAATCTAGAAGAGCTTTGTTCTCCTTGGAACTTGATACGTTTTTCGGAATCTTGCTGTTATTATTTGAATCCAATGGTTTATTTGGCGCATTTTGGAAGATTGTCGTTTCTTCTAATGGTAATTCATGATGAGTAAATCGTAAGCTACCTGGCCTAATATTCAGTCTTTGTTTATTTACAAGTTTATTAGGATTATATGTTGTTACTCTGGGATGATCAAAAAGATCCTGATTTTCGTTATCGATATCCTCATCATGATTAATGTGACCGCTTTGACCATTACTTTTTAAGCTGTTGTTATCAAATGGTATGTTCTTGTATCTATTATTTTGCAAGTAGTCAATATCGGGGTTATTTATCGTTATTTGTCCTAAAAATGTTTCTGGTTTTGAAGGATCATTTTGATAGGCCGCAGAATGAATTTGTGGAGGAAGTTCAGGCCTTTTAGTTGAGGCTGGATGAACTAATTGGAAGTTGTAAGGTAGAGCGGGCCTAAACCTTTGTTTCTGAGGAGCACTGAAGTCTGCTTGATTTGCATAATAAGGTGCGCCAGGCTGACTTCGGCCAGTAGGCAATTGGAAGGGTACAGGATTTTGATTGTAATTGGGACTTGGAAATCTCACATGACCCTCGCTATAAAGTGGTTGCTGTGACGACTGCGGTACTCTAAAGCTGTCGCCGTGTTCGAAATATGTCGCTGGGCGATTATTTGGGAATATAGATGGTTGAACTTGAGCAAAACTTCTTTCCACAGGTGTGTAGTAAAAGTCGTTTTCATCTGAAACAAAAGGAAACGCAATTAGTTTTTATCGTTTAAGTGCAAATCATGTAAATCGATTGCAAATGAAAATATATAATATAAATAATGTTAAGTTTATCCATCGAATGCAAGTCCGACGTATCATTGCAAAATTATTAACACGCCTAATTGCTTTAATTAGATTTTCTTATTAGTTTTCTTTATAATCCATTCTCAAGCATTGCGTACTTATTGCATATTAAAAAAAAACCTGTAATTTGCACATGGCGAATACCATTTGTTTTAAAGCTATTATGTATATATTATTATATTATGTACGTAGCAAAAATTTCTTCAGTCTCATCAGTATTACAATTTCTTGCATAAAATTAAAGCACAGTTAACAGAGCATGCAGGAATTAAATATTCAAATTATGCGCACTATATTACGTGTTGCGTCAATCATGAATGCGATTCAATTGTATATACACTGCAGATTGTATTCAGGCAAGTTTAACAATTTGAAATGAAACTTAATCCAATTTTACACACACAGGCACAGGACCGGGAGACTGCTTAAGAAAAGGCCAGTCGTGGATACATGTAAGCTGATGATGATGATAAGAAAGGTAGGACATATTATGGAAAATAGCTGTTACATTGTAATGAATTAAACAAAAACCGTTAGTTTCTATTGTAACAGAGTCTTTATCTTTTTTCTTTCTTTATTTCCCCAAAGGCATTAACTTTAATTGAGTTTGCGACTTGGTGTTTATCTGCTAAGATAATTACGATAAGTGAAATGTAATTCAGTTAATCAATCCAATAAATAATAGCTGTTTACCAAAGTCTACGAACCATAAAGTAATGGATTTTTTCTTAACTCATTATTTTATTAAAGGAAATGGACGATAGATCACAAGATGATGCTCAATAGATGAAATGTTTTGTCCGTCATTGTTGTTTATGCGTTCTATTTCCAAACAAGTAAATAAGTATCCATTTTTATTGAAACATTCGCATTTGTTCTCTTATTTTCCGTTTCTATTTTACATTCTTTTTATTATCATTCAAAAATAACTTAATTATTTAATTCTCAAAATAGCATTATAGAAACTAAATAAAACACTTATCTTTTTCACTTCACTCTGTGAAAAAAGCACAGACAGACTGACAGAAGTGTAACACAGTTAAAAATACTGTGAGCCGTGAACGATGTGGTTTGAAATAGGATGTAGTGACAAAAATAGAAAAGGGTATGCTGAGATGGTTTGGGCACATGGAACAGATGAATGAATGAAGATTAACGAAAGAAATATATGTATAGGGCTAAATTGGAAAACATCATTAGAAGAGGACGGCCACGAAGAACTTACTCAGAAAAACATCCTTTTAAACTGAGAGTGTTCTTAAAAAGTTGTTAACATTGTAAGAAGAATACAAGCTTGTATGGCAAGATTGATGAATGTAAATGAAGCAAGAGAAATTTATCAGGATTGTGCTATGTGGCGATCGATAATCTCTGCCTACCTCAATGGTAATCGAAGGGAGTGTGTATTTAAATGAATAAATAAACGAAAATTATCTTTTTGGCTTCATACTCTGAACTCTACTTTGCAATGCCATACGAAGTTAATAATCCCCGGATATACAATATATATGTAGATGAAGAAGATAATCCGGGAGCAATTACTTCGTTGCGGATCACGACGACGACTAATAAGAATGACGTAGTAGGATCAAGTGGTAATAACAATAAAAGAAAGTAATAAGACGTTTATGTGGCGAATTTCTGTGGATTTGGTGTATAGCTACAGATATCTGTGTCAACTTTACAACCCACTGTTGGTTATGGCTATCTTAAAGAGAAAAACCATTCAAGAATCAACACAACTCACTTGTGTTTTAGCTTTATTGACGACATCGGTAGCCTAACGGTTTACATTGTGGGCGCTGGATGCGAAGGTCCCGGGTTCGATTCGCGATTGAACCAATTTGGGAAATAAAGCTTTCGAGTGGTCTGGGTGTTCTGGGTAGTGCCCCGGAGTAAGTTCCGTTGCTCTGGTACTCATATTACGGGGAATTGCTTAGTCGAGACCAGGTAATTGGTGTGGTTGTTTGGCACATATACATTCCGCCGTTGCGATGAAACCGATAATGCTGTAACCCGCAATACCTGCATAAATGCTTTTTTCTTTTTCAGCTTCATTCTTGTTCAGTTTTATTTTCTGCTTCGATTGATCTGGGTCTCATGTCTCTAAAATGAAAAATAAACTCTGGACAGCATATTTTTTTAACGTTTTTTTCTGATTAAGAAAATTTAAAAAAACGAGTTAACCCACATAAAATCCTGTATTTTTTGCGAAATGTGCGTTACATAGAAAACACGTAATTAAATTTTTCTGTGCCGTTGATTACAGCATTTTTGCGTTCCCTAATATTAAAATTGTATCACTTACAGCATTTACTTGGGTGTTGTTAAGTACGAACAATGTTATTTATTGCGTTGTAAGGGTCCGAGTTTTAACAGTGCAATGAGTGTTACGATATTTAAAAACAAACAAAAACAAGTACATACAGAACTTCTCCTTACGTCATTTTATCCTTCCCTCGCTTAATGACACCGCAACTTATAGCAATATTTAGAGACTACGCATGCAGCAGTGAGGGTACTTGTGTGTGTTGTCCGAGGTTTTTTATAACAAAATCGAAAGTACTTTTTCAATTATTATTGTAAATATTATTTCTTTTCCTTATTTTATTTCATTATTTATTATATTTAATCTCACTTATTTATTCAGACCACGAGAGTCAGAAATTAATGACCTACTTAGAACTCGTAAATACGATGCATTTAAATTATAGTGAAATTTACTCAAATCACCATTATTAAAGTGATTTTAATCGACGAAGAAATCCTACAAAGTTCGTAATTTATATTAATTTTATTGTGATATATAGGTATGTTAATATATGTTTAGGTAATTATTATTTACTAAGTCACTAAAACGGATTTAGATACAATATTGCAAACAAGCCATTTTCTGGATACATACATAAACCTCTCGCCGTTCTCCCATTGGGGCAGGCAGAGAAATGTTTATACCTGTAGTGCGTTACCGTCTTTTTATAAAGTTTTTTCTCACTTCACATAACAGTAACCATCATCATTTATTCAGCAAACTCATGTATCACAAAATTTTATTTCTAGATAGCATGAACCCTGGCACAGCCAATAGCACACATTATGTCATAATAGTTACTATCAATAGTCTAAATGATTGTAGGTATATTAAGTCATGCATGCCACAAAGTTAGATACACGTATAAAATATATTCTACACATGCTAACAAATACAACACAAATAATGTCAGAAAAATGAAAAAAAGCCTAGGTGAGCTAAAAGAGAACAAAGAAACAATTTTCTGTCGTCGAACGCTATTCTACTAGTTCAAAACAATCTAAGACTGAAATTTTAAATAACAAACTACTACGGCCATCAGACGGTTCTAATAAATTGTAATCTAATCCAAAGTGCAACAATCTTCCACCGAGAATAATTTAACCATATTCAATGCCACAAACTGCATCAAGAAGCTCCGTGACATTTCACCAAAAGATATGCAACATGCCAAACTCAAAACTAGTCTCTACAAAAGTTTATGATCTGACGCCCACGTTAGAAACCCTGAGAAAAATTTATTCAAAGTATCTACTAAAATGATCATAGAAAATGTGTACTTTCAAAAAGACCAATAATGCAGAAGCTGGTTGCAGTACCTGGACCTAACGTTCAATTGACCAGTTACCACCCGAAAATACCAATGATGTACAACCGGGTTGCAGTTCATGGAATATGACAAAGAATTACGACACTATTTAGAATGTTTAATTTTAATGTTTTTACTTAATTTTTAAGTCTGCTTGATGGATGAACATAGTTTGGTTTTAATTTAAATTATAATCATGATAAAATTTTTCTACATTTTTACTATTTACATTCTTTACCTAATGCCTACGAGGAATAGGGATGGTTTAATTATTATTGAATTTATACTAACACGTAATAATTTTAAATCTATAACATGTAGATAATCTTTTACCTTGTACCAGGCAATAAACTAAAATAGAAAATATAATAACAAAAAGTGAAAAACTAATAATCAAGAGTAAGATTAGTTGTTGATTATTATTCTTTTATGGAATTTATAATTCATCAGTATAAGTTCTAAGAACGATGTAACATGGCACACAAAGTGTCAATGATTTTGTTTTATTGTGCTAAATCTCCAGTATTATAATTCGATTTGTTTCATTGTACTCATAGTGACCAAAGTCTTTTTCATAAATAGTGGTTCTTTTTAATAATAAACATTTTAAAAGCCATGTAAATTGCATGTGATTTTCACTAACACCATTTTAATGTACCCTGCTTCGGTTTAAAAAATACTCTTACAGCAGTATTGAATTTCATGCATCTTCAACAAGTTGACATTCAAAGACCAAAAATGTGTTAAGGAGCTCTAATTCATTTACATCACTCTTAGAGTACCGTAAATTGACGGTATTAGCCGCACCGTCTTACAAATTAACTTGAAAGTTACAGCATTCTTTGGGGTTAAAATCTGAAAATGAAATTGTCGTAACCCACATAATCGTCATTAGGAGTAGGACTATTTCAAGTCCGAGTTTATCGTTAAGAAGTCCTATTTTTTTATAGTTTATTTGCTAAATTTGGCACAAACCGTTTCAGAGCTATGATTTTTTTTCGTTTTTGCAATTTTTCTTTTGACTCCAGTGTTGAGTTGAGAATTTGAGTTTTTGAGTGCTACAGCATTATTGCTTTCTAGCGACAATGTAGTTCAGCAGGTTGTCTAGAGATTTCAGACATTTAGACCACGAAAATATCTTCAAATTTCAGAAGATATTTAAGTGATCAAAATACTTTACAGTATACACACACACGTATAAAACATTTTTGTTTATAGTTCTTAGGTTGTCGCGATTCTTCCATTTAGGAAACTAAACTATTTTTCAA